GTTGCCTAAGGGAAGCATATATAAAGTGAATAGAATTGGTCCAAGTACAGAACCTTGTGGAACTCCATGACTAACTTTAGTATTTATGGAGGATTCATCGTTAACGTGTACAAACTGAGAACGATCTGATAAATATGACTTAAACCAACTTAGTGCGGTTCCTTTAATGCCAATTTAATGCTCTTTTGTTTTTTACAAGAATATTATGGTCAATGGTGTCAAATGCTGCACTAAGATTCAAGTGTTTGGCGACTACTTTCTCCAGAATCTCAGAGCGGACAGGGAGGTTAAAACTAGTCAATAGTAGTCTTGTTGCTCAGAACAAAAACTCTCCTCAACACTGAAAGAACGATAAATGGAAGTGAGCTGAATTGTGGCTCGGAAAATGAACAGATCAGTAAGTGGACGAGTGTTTCGGGGGCGGTGACTGCTGATAAAACATGGCTGCAGAACGAGACTGCAGCGCTGCAAAGGCAAAAGGCCTGAACTTCAATTCTGCTTGAAAATGATTAATTGTTTTGTTGTTTTGTGGAAAAAATCGTGTTTTGTCTTCGACTTAACTTCCGAAACCTCTAGAAAAACCACCGCAGGATACCTCAACATCTGTTAACACACAGTTGAGTTAATGTCTTTGTATCACGTAGGGGGGAAACGCCAGGGACAAATTTCATTTAAAGGTTCGTTTGTTAAACTGAACGATTGTACAAACTTTGCGTTTCATCCTGCAGGGCTACGACCACAGCTACTTCTTCATCTACTCCTTTATGCACGATCACATCAAGCACCACGCCAAGTACCTCAACGCCTGAGCGGCACCAGAGGACGTGGTCGCCCAGTTCACTGTGACCCTGCGCTGCTTTCCGGCCGTCCACCTGAACTGCTTTTTATTGTCGTCTGACTCCCTGAAGAATCAACTACAATAAGATCAGTCCTGTTTCCTGAAAACCATAAAATGAGTCGAGTCACTGTCGTTTAAACCCAGTTTGAAGCCGTCGTGCCTTCAGTCTGAAGCCTCAAATAAGAACAAAAGCTTTCTGGGTAATTGGAGTTGGAGCCACAGTTCTCAGACAGTATTAGTTAAATATCAGTGGAAATGAGCCGACAGTTGCAGACAGCGGTCAGTGATTAGCCAGCTGTACTTTTCAGAATAAAAGCATCTGTTATTCATTCTGGTGTTTTGTTCTTATTGAAGTTTGTTGACCCGCTGAGAATCACTGAACAATCTACTGAACAACAACATGATCAGGTCAGAACTGAAAGTCCCTGTGAGGTGTTTTATTTCCTCTGTCTCCTCCAGTATCTGTCGAACAGTGACAGGAAGTCCGTTTTAGGTATTTTCAGGTATTCTTGGTGGTATTTTAGAGTTTCACCTCAGCTTTCTAAGTGTATTCAGTGATTTTGGTGAAACTGGATCAGATTTTATGTTGAAAATATTTCCTGGTTTTCCTGAGGACAGATTAGCTGAAGTAGCTAACTGCTAATTAACTGCCAATAACTGTATCTGCCGTTAGCGGGTGACAGAACAGAAAGCTAATTTACAATAATTGTAAGCTAGTTGGGTTTACCTTAAAATGTGAATATGTATGTGTAAAAATGTGGTTGTCTTCTCAACATAGATTAGCCTAGCATATAGCATATCTAAGTACAGGGAAGGAAGATGGAGGCTTGCTCAACTGTTATTGGAGCACAGAGCAAAAAGGGGCGGGACTAAGGAAGCGTGAGTTTGCGCCACCTACTGCTTATCTTAATGAACTCCTACATTGAGAAACTAGTTGTTCATGCAAACAGACATTTTCATTTTCTTTTGTCAAATTACTCCACATTTGGTTGAAACGTGATAAATGTGGACGGAAACTCAGCTAATGAGATTATTTCATTATCTCCAGTAATTTATGAGTATGAGTAGTTGTCTGTGTGCATAAAAGTATCAATAACTCAAACATTAAAATATGTTAGCAACAGCACTGACATATATACATGTTTCCACTCATCTACATCCACATACTCATAGCTACCAACTTTTTACAATTCTTACATGTTCTGCACATTTACAGGGAAATATTCTCAATGGTAGGTAAGAAAAAACATCAGTGTTGAGTGTTTATTATCAAGCACGAACCAATTAACCACAAGCACATTACAAATTAATATACCAAAAACCCCAAATAGGTTATCTGTGGAAGCTCATTGCCACCTAAGGGAATCTGTAAGTCACTGTAATGAGAAACATATTCAATATTTTGACTTTATATCTGAGAATAATGAATTGGTAATTCTAAGTCAATATTTTCTTGCATATATTAATATATAATAATATATTTCTTTTTCTTCATAATTACTTAGATAATCTTTTTTTCCCATCACATTGGTGCAAATGGGCTTCCATAGTTATCAATGCCCATTAAGGATTTTATAAATATGTGCAACTGTGCATCTTGAAACACTCTAAAGTTTTTCCCTCCTGTAAATCTGTCAGCAGCAACAATCACACATTTTCACTCAGAATACAAAACCTATAAAGGCTGTCAAGTAAAATTTAATCAAAAAAACGAATCAAAAAGTCTAATCAGAGCACAGTGTGTCTCTACAGCATGTTGGCATCACAGGAGTCAGGCTGCAGGATCTGAAGAGTCACTATGTGTTTAACAGCTTTTCTAAAC